TCACTAAGCTATTTACTGCCGGCCTATTGACATTTAGTGTGTAAATAACCACATAACACAGAAAGAGCTATTTACCTACTGCCGGCCTATTCGCTAACTTTTTGACATTTACAGTGTGTAAATAACCACATAACACAGAAAGAGGTTAGAAGGGTGATCAGAGAGCGTTTGTACGGCAACCGATGTCGCCGGCTTCTCCGCACTACACTTTCACCTAATAGGTAATAGCCAATAAAACAGCGCGACATCAAATAATCGAAACAATCTGCGCTCTCATCCGAGAGCAACGACGTAATCCGAACCAAGTTTTGGTCAAGTTATGAGCATTTGCTCACACATAAAGCCAGAAACATATTATCATATGACGCATCGGTTACATACATTTATTATGGGTTAGTAGTACAGTCAATCTGTCGAAAAAAATATCGTTTGAGTGAAAAAAAAACCTAAAGGGTAAGTCTTGTTTTTTCTGTTGCCAAATGACGTCAGTAAGCCACCTTGGCGATGGGCATGTTCAACTCGTAGGCGTTTTTTGAAAAACAAAAAAACCGTCAAAAATTTTTTGAAACGCATTTTTCTTGTTTTGTATGCATTTTAGAAACTTTTTTTTTGACCATAATTGTAGAGGGCGTTGAGTGCTACAATTTATGTCATTGTTGCAATCTCGTACAACAAAAAATGCGCATTGTAGGTGGCGCTAAAGTCTCAAAAAAGTGTATTTTCACTTTTTCACCCTGAAAATATCATTTTAATGGAAAACTTTAAATGGCAAAGTTGTTTCGTACATAATTACCAACAACTTTTGTATAAACAATTTTTTTGTGTTACTTACCGTTTTCAAGTTATAAATTGCGCAGGTATGAAAAATTCAATAGAGCGGTTTTGGGCAGTTCACGTACACATTTGCAGTGCACATTTCAATGTACGTTTTACTATTTTTTATTTTTTTTTCGTGATTGATAAACAAAAAAAAATTAAAAAAAAAATAGTTTTATTTTTATTTTTTTTCATGATTGAAAAAAAAAATAGTAAAAAAATACATTGAAATGTGCCCTGCAAATGTGTACTTGAACTGCCCAAAACCGCTCTATTGGATTTTTCATACTGCGCAATTCATAACTTGAAAACGGTAAGTAATACAAAAAAAAATGTTTATACAAAAGTTGTTGGTAATTATGTACGAAACAACTTTGCCATTTAAAGTTTTCCATTAAAATGATATTTTCAGGGTGAAAAAGTGAAAAAACACTTTTTTGAGACTTTAGCGCCACCTACAATGCGCATTTTTTGTTGTACGAGATTGCAACAATGACATAAATTGTAGCACTCAACGCCCTCTACAATTATGGTCAAAAAAAAAGTTTCTAAAATGCATATAAAACAAGAAAAATGCGTTTCAAAAAATTTTTGACGGTTTTTTTGAGTTTTTCAAAAAACGCCTACGAGTTGAACATGCCCATCGCCAAGGTGGCTTACTGACGTCATTTGGCAACAGAAAAAACAAGACTTACCCTTTAGATTTTTTTTTCACCACTCAACCTACAGATTGACTGTACTATAGAGAGAGAGAGAAAGAGAGAGGTTAGAGGGTCGACACGACACGACACGTAAATATGTTTCTAACCATAGTAAATGTATGAAACCAATGTTGAACTCCGTGACCGAGTGGTTTGTACGCCGGGTTTCATGGTGTCGCCGACTCGAGAGGTCCCGGGTTCGAATCCCGGTGGGGGCAGATGTTTGTGTGATGAATACGAGCATTTGTACTCCAGTCATGGATGTTTAATATGTATTTATATAAATATATATGTACAGTATAAGTATTCTATCCGTTACCCTAGCAGCCCATAACACAAGCCTTATAGTGCTTACTTTGAGGCTAGGCTAATTGAAAATGAAAATGAAAATGAAAAGTCATTTATTCAGTCTAGGCTGTTACAAGCACTTGTGAAAGTCAAGAAGCTACGCCATCGGTTCGCAAAACTACGGCGGGAGACCTTGTACTGAGAAGAACCGGCAAGAAACTCAGCAAGGGCTGCTTTTTTCTCCCTGTATTGATATATACAGAGTCGTCAAGTTGAAAAATGACTTCAGACATACTTCTGAAGTCACCTTCCATTACATTATTTAGGGTATAGATATATAGTTACAACAAATTTTATATTTAGTATATATAGGAAGCGGCATTAGATAGGTACCATACTACTGTTACAAAACTGACTCATACCCATCAAATAAGAAATTACAAGAAACACTATGTCCATGCATTACGATCATTTAGATAATCATTAACTTTATAATAGCCCTTATTCATAAGAGTATTCTTAATCTGAGATTTAAATTTGGTTAGTGGAAGCTCAATCAGATCTTGGGGAACTTTGTTAAACAATGCAATACTACATCCCAGAAATGAACCTCTAGATTTTTGGAGTCTGAAACATGGAACGGCAAGCTTGTTCTTAAATCTCGTGTTTAAGTTATGGGTTTGACTTTTTTTTGCAAATGCGTCATAGTTTCTTCTTACATATATTATATTTTCATAAATGTATTGCGATGCCAGTGTTAAAATATTAATTTCTTTAAATTTTTCTCTAAGAGATTCTCTTGCCTTTAAATTATATATGGCGCGAACAGCTCTCTTTTGCAGTACGAAAATACTTTCTATATTAGCAGCTGAGCCCCACAACAAAAGGCCATATGACATAACGCTATGAAAGTAACCAAAGTAAACCATTCTTGCCGTTTCCACATCAGTTAGGAGTCTTATTTTTTTAACAGCGAAGGCCGCAGAGCTCAGTCTACTTGATAAGGCATCAATATGAGGATCCCATTGCAGATGCGAGTCTAAAGTAATACCCAGAAACTTTGTAGAATCCACTAACTCTACAGGCTGCTCATTTATTTTTAAACTAGTATTAACCTGCCTCACATTAGGTAAAGTAAACTTAACACATTTTGTTTTGCTAGAGTTTAGTTTTAAATTATTTACCGTAAACCAGCGAAGGACTTCAGAGAGAGCACAATTTACTTCGTCATAACAATCATTTCCTCTCCTAGCTTTAAACACTAAAGAGGTGTCATCAGCAAATAGTACTGTCCCACACAAATCTCTTGTAAAGTGAGGAAGGTCATTAATATAAATAAGGAAAAGCAATGGGCCCAATATTGAACCCTGGGGCACGCCCATAGAAATGGGTGCTCCTGTAGACTCAGCTTCATTTATAACTACTTTCTGAATCCTAGCAGAAAGATAAGACTGTATCAGACTTAGTGAAATATTTGATACACCATAATGCTTCATTTTATTTAACAATGTTTCATGGCTAACGCAGTCAAACGCCTTAGATAAATCGCAAAAAATGCCAATAGCATCGTGCTTACTCTCCCATATATCAAAAATGTGTTTGAGAAGTGCAGTTCCAGCATCAGTAGTACTTTTGCCTCTAGTGAAACCAAACTGTTTTAAATGAAGTAGCTTATTTATAGAAAAGTGTGCTAGTAATTGGTTATAAATTATTTTCTCAAATACTTTACTTAGCGCTGGTAATACAGATATAGGCCTAAAATTGCTGGGATCTGATTTATCACCAGCCTTAAAAAGAGGGATAACTTTAGCACATTTCATTAGATCTGGAAACACTCCCTCATCAATACATTTGTTAAATATAATGGCCAGTTGTGGCGCAATGACAGTGATAATCGGTTTTATTATATATGTTGATATTCCCCATAAATCCTCTGTCTTTTTAATATTAATAGAATTAAATGTTTTTATAATACAATCACTACTGATATGTCTAAAATAAAAATCATTACTGCACTTATCAACGCTTGACTCAAGGAGGGTCATTGCTAACCTAGAACAAGAATTAAGATTTCTAGTTGATTCAAACGGTGCACTAGAAAAGAAATTTTCAAAAGTGTTGGCAACGGCATCATCTGTCCGAATAATCTTGTTGTCTATTTTTAAAGAATATGTGCGTTCATTGAATTTATTTCTTCCAGTTTCATTATTAATTATATTCCAAGTTGTCTTTATTTTATTATCTGATAGACTAATTTTTTTTGATAAAAATTTAGCTTTCGCTATGGCACACACCTTTTTAAAAGTTTTTGAATAGTTTTTGACATATTCTATAAACTTAGGATCAGATGAGGTTGCTTTGAGAGCATATAATTGATACAACTTATTTCTACTTTTGTAAATACCAGGTGTGGCCCAATCACTAAAATTCTTTTTAGAGCTATGGCATTTAATTACTTTGCGTTTGAATATTTTATTAAATTCATCTTTAATTAAATTAAATAAATCTTCATATAAAATATTATTATTATTACAAACTGGTAAGTCCGACATTTTATGATAAACACTATCTTTAAATTTATTTATACCCGTTTGTGTAATTGGTCTATAAGTTAGGTCATGTTTGTGTGAAGCATGATGGTGTTCAAGAGAGGCTAATTGTCCACTATGATCAGAATTAATACAATTTATTATTGATTTATTAAAAACTTTCCTATTACAAAAAATATTATCCAAACAGGTTGCTGATGCATGTGTGATGCGGGTAGGCTCAAAGAAGATATGCTCCAAGTTATATGATTTAAATAAGTTTAGAAACCTACCCACTAACGGACACTTAACTAAAATATTTATATTAAAATCACCACATACAACAAGCACTTTATTACATTTACATACTATATTGAAATTGGTGTAAGGTGTTGGAAATATTTATTTATTTAATGTGCTTAACCACGACACGATACGACACGTTGATATGTTTTGAGCTTAAATGGCGCGCCTGCCCCGCCCATAAGGATCTTCTAACCTCTTTCTGTGTTCTGTGGTGATAATAAAAGAGAAAAATGCATTTTATTATAACACCACTAAGATTAAAAATTTCAAAGAAATAAGATTTTTACAACAGATTTTTCTTATTTAAAGAAATCCTTTTTACCTTGTACTTTTCCCTATTCAACAGTTTTTTTATAGCTAGGTAGGCAAGTGACCACCCGACCTGATAAATTTAACCTTAAATTTATCATACCACCTGTGGTGCTAAAAGTCAGACTCGAACGTAGCTGGTGCAGCAGTTATGAACTGCTTTCTATATTAAAAAATACAACATTTACAACAGCAAAATTATCAGGGTAATTGTTGGTGATGCTCTTGTAAGAAGCATGTTTTGTTGTCATTATTACATAGACCATATTTGTTAATTATTACAAATAGCTGTAGTGAGACTCATAACTATATAGGTATTTTATTATTTTCAAGGCTAATAGGTGACGAAAAAATTGTCCTATCTGAAGCATTAAAAGAAAAACCTTGTCTGCAATCGATATGGGAAAGAGTGAAAGACAATGAACCTTTGATAGCAAGAGTTTTAGATAGATCTACAGTTGCAAGTGCATCATATTTGTTATCAAAAGATGATCCAAATTATTTATTTATTGTGGGTAACACTCACTTATACTTCCATCCTGATGCAGATCACATAAGGCTCATTCAAGGAGGAATCATTATTTATTGGTTAAATGACATTCGCAGTACATTAATGAAAGAGGTACTTAATTTTCATGTTTCTTTTATTTTCATGAACACCAACTCTTCAAACCCGCAAAGCCTGTTTAAAGCCCTAACAATATCATCCCTTAAATAGTCCCTACAATTGTTATGCTGAAATAAACTGTAAAAAATACTATTTTTATCAGTTCCCAGGTAAAATAATATCTTTGATATTATGTGGTGATTTTAATAGTGTTCCTACCTGTGGAATATACGAGTTGTACACTACTGGCGTAGCTGCAAGCACACTACCGGATTGGAAATCGAGTAAGTAACGAAATTTCACAGTATACCTCTAAAACGTTAAGTTTTAGGTCATTAATAAGTCAATTACAAGCATGAAACCAGTGAACTACTTTAGAGAGAGCATTGCTCAAATCATCAATAAAGTAATTAGGTTACTTTCGTTTGATTTTAAAGAAAGTGAATAAAATATCACCAGGAAACAAATTCTCATACAAAAAGCTCGTTGTCTACTTCCCTTATCACTATAAGTTATTTAAATTAAAAACAAGAAAGGATCAGCCCAAGAGTCGAGCCCTGAAGAACACCCATTTTCACACTGAATTTTTCTGAAGAACACCCGTAGGTGGCGCTAAAGTCTCAAAAAAAGTATTTTTTTCACTTTTTCACCCTGAAAATATCATTTTAATGGAAAACTTTAAATGGCTAATTTAACAAAATTACCAACAACTTTTGTATAAACAATTTTTTTGTATTACTTACCGTTTTCAAGTTATAAATTGCGCAGGTATGAAAAATCCAATAGAGCGGTTTTGGGCAGTTCAAGTGCACATTTACAGTGCACATTTCAATGTACGTTTTATTATTTTTTATTTTTTATCATGATTGAAAAACAAAAAAAAAATAAAAAAAAAATAGTTTTATTTTTATTTTTTCCATGATTGAAAAAAAAATAGTAAAAACGGACATTGAAATTTGCACTGCAAATGTGCACTTGAACTGCCCAAAACCGCTCTATTGGATTTTTCATACCTGCGCAATGCGCAGCATACTTTCATATTTCTTAATATTACTATATACTCGTATATGATATGAGTAATGTTTGTAGCCGAGGCGAGTTATATTAGTTATTTATCTCCCGTTCTCATCAGATCTTCACAAAATTAATGTGGAATCACTTCGACAAATAATAGATTGAATCAAAAAAGAATCTTCCAAATCGGTCCACAAACGGACTAATGCGCGAACAACAATAAATGAAATATATACCTACTATATTGATGAATTGAGAACCTCCTCTTTTTTGCAGTTGGTAAAGAAGAGCATTAGCTAATGGAAATGTTGCAAGAACTATAGTTAACCTCGAAGCACATTTTCCAATAACCATATGAAGTTTTAACTGATCGACATTTTTGATTTTGAAGTTTCTTGTTTTGCAGATGCTGAGCAAGCTGTTACTGGACTAAGTTTGGAACAGGGTACATTATTAGAAAGCGCTTGTGGGACACCACAATTTACAAACTTCACGGAGGGATTTGCTGATTGTCTGGACTACATTTTTTATGATAAATCTTCTTTGCAAGTTGAACAGGTACTTACTGATTATCAGCATATACATAATAATATGTTTAAGTAGGTAGTGTTATATTAATGCCTGGGTCAAACCAAACCCATGTGCGTTGCAGCGCAGCTAGATCGGGCGTGGTGAGAAACTTTATTATATCTAGGTACCTTATGCTCAAGGAAGCTTCTTATGAAGTGTAAGGGGAGGGGGGGCAATATTATGGAGGATAATAAATATGAACGCCGAGAGCTTGAAGCATTTGATCAACATTTGATCTCTGGGGGGGTCTGCCCCCCCCCCTGCCCTCCCTTGGCGACGGCCTTGCCTATGCTCATCCCTCTATCCGACCTTATATGTTCGATGAATGTTAACCACGCAAGATATTTTTTATGTTAAAATTCCCTGCTTTTGCCCTGAGCTAATCGAATAGTTAGTATTTTCAGAGGTACGATTGTGACCACAATTTTGCTCCCTTTGCATAATTAAAACTCTCATACACTTATGAATGTTTCTACGGCTTCTGACATTCATGTACTTACCTATTAATATTTTCAGGTGGTACCAATGCCAAGTCTAGAAGAGCTACAAGCCAATACTGCATTACCTAGTGTAGTGTTTCCGTCAGATCATATAGCCTTGGTGGCAGATTTAAAAATGAATCAAATGTGATTTTTAGTGGTTTGTTTTCTAATATTTCATATTTGATACAAATCTATGTAGAAACATAAAGAATTAGAATATATATTTAAGCATTACTGGATCCGGAATTTTGATTTTAGGCTTAGGTCGCTGGGAAGACCTTACCTCAACGACTGTAGGTTTTAACAAAAGCTGAAGGCTAAATCCATTTAACGTAGGTACCTACTCCACTTATGCAATTCGAGATAGTGTCGAACATTATTATTCAACAAGGAATTAATAATATTAAAATATTTTGATCAAATTTTTGCATATATTCAATTGTTCATTAATTTATATTTTTGGTCCTTGTTTTACACAACTAACAACGTGATATTATTCACCTGTAAGTATGACTATTGATTTCGCCCATCTTTTTTAGGGTTCAGTTCCCAAAGGGTAAAAACGTGACAAACGAATACTAAAAATACAACAATCGTGATTTTTTGTCGTTTTTTGCTCTATATTAATAACAGCAACAGGTAGGTTGCTGGTACCCTTGAAATATTCACAAAATATTTAGTTTTTTATTCACTTTTATTTATTTATTTATTTAAAAGTCAATTAATAACTTATTTATTTTACGTGATTAATACACTGTTGCAAGCGTTGTTGCTTGCAACAGTGTATTAATCACGGAGTAACTCAGTTCACTCACACTCACAGTTCAGTTACTCCGTGATCATGGCGCTTGCAACAGTGCCGAAATATCGGAAACTCGCTAAAAACAAGGTACATGGTAGCAATCGCGTAACTAACTTATATTACTTTAATGTTAATGACCATGAAAGTTCAAAACAAAATAAAAATAAATATTTTATTTTCTCATATAACATATTTTTTGCCGGTTTTGCTCGATGTCATAATATACCGCATTATTCCAAAACGAGGACTAAAGTTAGTCTTGGTTTAAACCTAATATATCTCTTTGTCTTTTTAGAAAATAAAAGGGACAAATTCAAATTTAGTCCGGGTTTAACTTTTGCCTAGGTTTTGTAATAATAATAAGGCTGCGTGTGGGTGTCTAATGATTTATAGATAATGGTACGGATCCATCTCTGCACGAGTCCGACTCGCAATTGGCCGGTTTTTTAACTTTAATAAAAAATCTTATAAACCTTCTTACAGAATAGAAATTATGAAGGTTGTAGAACTCACGGAACAAAAAAAATATATACAAGGGGAAGTGTAAAGTAGCGTAGCTCCGCTTAATTGATAATAATTACGCGTCAGTTGCAATTGAGATGGTGACATGACAACATAATTATAGTAATTTACGTCATTTACGGGATTCTTACCATGTACCTTGTTTAAGCAAGTTTCCGATATTTCGGCACTATTGCATTGCAAGGGTCATGATCTCACACTCGATCGATCAGTATCGGATCTCGACACGACACCTTTTTGATTAACACTCAATCCCGTAAATTAAATAAATTACTGAAAAATTACTATTTATTACAGTAAATTTTCAAAACTCCTTCCTCCAACATGAATACACAATTGACAACGTCTTAAAAAGTTATGTTTTAATTGTCTGACGCTACTTGAATATTCTTGCTTTATTTTTCTTTCCGCTTCTTACAGTATCTTACGTTTTGCCTCAATTCTTGTTCGCATTTTAAATCTTAGTGGTGAAACCGAAATTATTGTGAAATTACACATGCTAAAGTTTTTTTATGGTAATTTCAATTAAGTTTAATTTGAAATTAGATTTTTAACCCCTAACACGGCAATCGGCCGACTGTCGGCATTAGGTATAACCCCGAAATACGGCAAGCGGCCGACTGTCGGCCGTTTGCCACAAGCGGCACGTGACCGACATTCGGCCTTTCATCGTTTTTCTATCCTGCCTTCATTCATATATCAATTTTTAGAGGAAAAAACGGGCTAGCTATCTAGCCATTCATAAAAACAAGTGCCATATGAAATATTTATACTGTTATCTGTCAAAGTTCGTCGTTCGCCGTTTTTTGTCTGAAAAAAAATATGCCGTGTATTCAGACTATTTTAAGTGCTTTTGAGTGGTTTTAAAGAAAAAAACACCATGCCTGGTTAAGTTAAATACATTTAGTTACTCTATTTTGATGTTTCGTTTGCGGGTCTCCGTGAATTTTTTTGCAGACGCGGTCGCAAAAAAAATCAGCGAAAACTTAGGGGTACTTACCCTATGTTTTCATTTGATAATTTCGATAATAATTGTAATGTTTTAATTTTTAATTATTGAATAAATTATTCATGATTAATACTTCGAATACAAAGAATCTCTTGAGTTCGTATTTTTGAAGAAATAAAAAAAAAACAAAATCCGCGCGGTGGAACGGTGGTTCGAAATTCAAATACACGAACGAAATATTTTTTTATATTATTTTCTTGTACGTGAACTAGTAATTAGTTTTTGTTTATTCTAAAGCAAATTTCGCGTACATTTTGATAAAAAAAACTGTTTATCAAAATTGAAAATACTTTTCGTTTTATAGACATAATACTGAGATGACTGATTTGTAGGCGATTTTTAAATGCCTCGTTGTAAGTTCTTAAACCTAAAAAATATACAAACGTTATTCATAACAATCTTGGTTCTAATGTTATCTTAACACTCGGAGCTAATGGAGTAATAAATTACAGCCATTCAAACGCCCGGCTTAATCCTTATCGACCCACTTGAAAGAAGGATGCCCATTTGTGACCTGTCAAATCTGTAAAAAAAAATTGCATGTATAATTATGTGACATACCTCAAAAAAAAAGGTAATTATTCGCTTATTACGAAATCAAAATATCAACAAAAACTACAATCCAGTTTTTTTCAAAAATAATTTTGTAATATAACCATTATGTAGGTACATTTTTTGCTATCACACGAACGCATCCATTAGGGAAGAGTATTGTATCAAAGTAAAATGACATAATTATGAACGCAGCTTAAATGTAGATTCGCACTCTCCTTTCCAATGTTGCCAGTCATGCGGTAAATACCGTATTTAAATGGTAATGTAATACTTAGAAGGCATGGCTTTAATTTAAAGTTTCTTTCCGTTCTTAACAAAGACTGGCCATTTTCTTAGTGAAACATGACCGAAATAGTTAGGACTCCATCATCTCTTCGGCTGACTACATGAGAAGGAAATTCGTTCCGAAAAAATGCCAGCAATAATGACAGCTGCTCATAGTACTAATCATCTCAATTAATGGAAGGTATTGTAATTTTATTTTAGATTATTACCTACTTATATACTTGTCTACCAGAGATTTAAATAATACATAGTTAAATGTCTTAGATGTCTATAGATATAATTAGGTAAAGGTCAAGATTATCATTTATTCATTCGCTTGTAGAAACTAAGACATTAAGTACCTACTATTTCAATAAAATAATTGAAACTGAATTATTGATTAAATATAAAAAAAAACTTGTTTAATTCCAAAGACAATATTATAAGGATGACACCTCAGCATGATACATGTTATGATATTAATCCTTTTTTCTTCAATCCTCAGATCAAGCTTCAATCAAACAAAACAAGCGAATTGAAATAAATACCTAGCTGGGCTAAGACACCACAGCTGTGACAGCACACAAATGAATAATCTTATGCTGGCACTTCACTTGGCTATTCATGTAAACTTGATTTCAGTCTGTCCTTTTCTTTCCTTAAAACATGATAAGGACAGACTGTTGTCAAGTTTACAAATAGCCAAGTGAAGTTCCGGCATTAGATAATCTATAATCAATCTCGTAACCACAGAGTAAGTAAATGACATCTTCAGCAGTTGAATAACCTCAGAATTAGTTTTCGTTATAACTCCTATTCCTCATTGCCAAATCAAACCAAATTAGCAACATTATTTCAGAAGATTGTAATAATTAGTTAACAACCTCAACAGTCAATATACATCCATAAAGTAAAAACCGAAGTGACAGGTTTTCGAATGTATGGGCAGTGGGCATTGTTCTTTGAGCTGTTTATACTTTGCGGTTTGTTTACATTAACGGCGCGCGCGCAATGTGACGAGCTGTAGGTATAATTAAATTGTGCGAGTATAGTATTTTATGTGTTTATTTGGTAAGTTATAATAGAATGTGCAAATAACCAAAAAATCTGGAAATAAAATTTTGAAAATATACTCCATTTTACCCATCTAAACGCCTTTTTTTTATCTTTCCCGAGTTTACCGTAACGTAATTAAAATAGATTATAGACATGACGCATTGTTTAGACACTTTTATAGTAAATTTTATGGAGAATCCAAATATATATAGTTTGTGTAGGGTATTCTTACAAAATAACAGAGAAATCGGCAAAGCAATGCAATCATTCCCACCCCGCGGGGGGCCTCGGTGGGTGGTCGTGCCGTGTAAGGGTTTAGCGGCGTGTGCGTGTGGCCGTGGGAAGGGAAGTTTAATTTACCATAACAATGATAAAAAGTAGATAAAATAATTTTTAATGTTTGCTTTTTTGTTTCAATGATTTTAAGCCTATCCGCCTTCGAAGGCCAAATACAACAAAAATAGGCTGATTTTTTTTATGTTTTTTTTTTATTATAATGACTCGCACGGTTTGTGCATTGGCCACGACAGGGTAAAAGGTAAGGAAACCAAAATAATGAAATAAAAAGGTTGTGAAACGGAATTTGGAAGGATTAGGATCAGGTAAGTACGTAAAATTAATTTGAAACGTAAGTAATAGGTCTTTTTAAGTATATAAAATACATTATATTATTTCTTATAAATTACTTATAATTTTTATAATACAATAAGGAAGGAATAGAAGTAGGGAGAGGTACATTAAGGGATATTAATGAATCCATAAAAGAGGAGGAATCGTTGAGGGGACACTACTAACTAAAAATTGCTGCTGCGACGCACTGAAAGTTGTAAAAAATCAAACTTACCTCGGGCTAATCATTGACGATCGGTTGACATGGGCCGATCATATTCAACACGTGTGTGATAAATTACGAACACTTCTTGCAAAGTTTTCTATACTT